GAGCGTTTACGACGTCCATCATACAAGAGAGTGTGCGAGAGTGACTCTTCGTCAGAGCTATAGCCTTGACTGTGAGTAGGGGAGAGACGAGAGTAAGATAAGTGAGGGGAGGCAAGAGGGGAGGGGTGGGTTGGATGGGAACGTGGGACAGTGGACAGGTCCATTATATCATCATCATCCTCTTCATCACTGAAGTCACTCCGACTAACACTCTTTGCCAGGTTAGGGGAGCTACGAGCGGAGAGGAGGCGGCGAGACCGTGGGCTTGGTAGCGGGGACTGTGACCTCATGCCATCAACAATGACCTCGTCTGATTCACCTTCCTCCTCACAGGCTGATAAGTGTCTCATTCTTGGAGGTGGAGGTGGTAGGTCCAGTGTTGATTGACTGTCGGTTTCTGATAGTCCAGTAGAGTCCTCGGCAACACTTTGAATAGGGAATAAAGGTTTCCTTGTGTTAGTGTTTGAGACTTGCTCTCCTCCTACACCAAGTCTGGGGGGAGAGAAGGAAAGTTTAAAAGTAGCAACAAAGAAAAAGACAGAGATACAGAAACTTAATATCATACATGTACAGGTACATGCACATGTAATTACAAAGTACAGGTAGTCAGGTACATGCAGATGTACATGTACATTATTGGTTTAAATGCTCAAATAAAATTGTACATGTGTAACTACATGTACTTTGTACATGTACATGTACATGTGTATTTAGTACATGTGTAGCATTATTTATAAAACTAAGAATTCATGTTTACAAACAAATACAAGTGACCACATGTACTACATGTACCCTTTACCTGGGGCTGGTATAGTTAGGGTTCTGGTATGGACTCTTTGTTAAGTGGGTGGGGGAGGAAGATGAACGAGCTTTACTGGTCACTGGTTCTTCTGGTGTTGTCCGTCGTCTTGGGAGGAGGACACCAGTCTCAGCATGACCGTGGGATTTATAACTTCCTCCAGCTGGATTTGACTTTAAACTATTGAAATAAATAAACACATGTAATTATAATAACAATGCATACATGTACATGTACTGTATGTACAATTACATGTACTGTAAAAGTAGAGGGACTTTGGCCCAATTTCACCAAAAATGACTAGGAGAGAATTCTCTATTTTTATTACATATCCTGATGCATATACATGTACATGTACTTATGTTGTATAGAAATTTTGAGCTGATTCCAATCAAAATTGGATTTTTTTTACAAATTTCAAAAGTTGTTCCAAAAGCCTTGTGGGAAAGCCCATTGTACAGATGCAAGCTTAATTTATCATTATCATCATTACTATTACATGTAGAGTAATGTTGTACATTGTATCTTACAAGCACAAGTACAATGTATATGTATACATGTATGTACACATTTATTCATTACATGTTATTAAGTGGAGGTTGTGCAGGGACTGATATTTTCCGTGAAGTATTAGCAGTCTCTCCTCCTCCTTCCCCTCCCAGCACACTAGCATTGATCTGACAGGGAGCCACAACATGAAATGAATACTTTGAATACATGAATACATACCTTGAAAATAGAACTGTTCCTTCTGCCTTAACTTTGTTAATGCTACTGGTAGTGTCTCCAGTATCTGTTCCTTTTGGTGGTACCAATCACCCAAACACCTCTAACACTCATCCTCCTCAGCTAGGCTTGAGCATATCAGGCTAGCATAATATTGAGCATAATGAACCACACTAGGAATTAAGCATTATTCCAGAATAGTCAATTAACTTCAACCATGTGACTTCACTCACTGAATGTGAAGTGTTAACATGGCTGCCCATTTAGCCCCCAGCAAAGTCACTCTCTTGAAGACTATGTACAATGTTCCTTGATGTTACAGTATAATGTGTGATAAATAATAATTTTTTTATTGAAAAAATAATTTTGATAATAATTCAGAATAATTGTAAGCATAGCCAATAAATATTGTAAGCATAATGGCATATATCTGATAATCTGAAGCACTAGAGAATAGCATAATGTAATGAAATGGTGGAATAATATGCCAAAGCCTATCCCCAGCTCAACTAGTCACACGTAATGGGCCTGTTGGCCACACCCAACATTAAAAATGGCTTCCAGTAGAGGAGCACTAGTCCTGTCTTTTCGAGTTATTGGGAGGTATTATTCATCTCAGACTTATCGATTGATTGGGAAACCAGATGAAAAGTCTAACCTAATCCTAGTGAAATGAGACCACCTAGCAATCATGCTGTAATTTCTGTCATTTTGATATATATGTATATACTTATGTATAATGCTGTATGTATTTTTTCAGACGATTTTGCACACATCTGTAGCATGTAGATTATGTTATTTTCATAGGAATCGAAGTTACAAATGTTAGAGCAACAAATTTATGATTTTAATCATACTTTTTGGAAGGAACACAATATTGAATTCCAACAGGTTTGATGATTAGATTTTATTACCTAATAATGAAAATAGTAATAGGCAAAATCTGACTACATTAATAAATTGTTATCAACGACAAATCTTACCAGAAATGAATTAACATCAAATCATTTAATGGAATTTCATAGATCGTTTCTTAATGGCAAGTATCAGACTCACAAGCAATATTTAAAGTAAGATGATCTAAGATCATATAATTTATTATTTCTGTCTTTTAATTATAGGGCATGGACTATTATGAACTTTC